GCTTGCTGTTTTTTCACTTGAGGAGAAACACAACAGAGCTGCTTGAACTTATTTGAGATGTTTGCTAGAACTCTGATACTCCGATGACGTGAAAGGCTGCAGAACTTGTGCTGTCTTTCATTTGGAAACCCACAGTTGTGTGGGCTGTGACCTTTTCATGTCAGGTCCATGCTTCCTCTTACCTCCCTTTGGGCATAAGTGATTCAGTTTTCTATGTTGGATAATACTATTTTTTTACTCCCCCCCTTCAGATCCACCTTCCCCTGTTTTGTTCTCCTGCTTTGTATATTAAAGCTATCCAGGAACTTTTTCTTGCCATTCAGAAATACTTCCCAACTAATTAAATGAAAAAGAATCCCCAGTTAGCCTAGATTTAATCACATTTCTGCCTGTGTTTTTTGCAAAAGCCCTCTCAAAAGGCTTGGTTTTTTTCCTTCCTTTGTCTGTGTGTCTGTATTTTATCTCTCCTCACTCCACACACTGTTTTATTTGTTCAAATCTCAGTGCTCCTGCACTGGTTTGTTCAAATCTCAGTATTTTCTAGCCAATTCTGCAAAGCATGTGGGAATTATTTATGTGAGAGATGCCAGACACAACAGAGCTGCTGCCGCCCTTTGCCTAGCAGCTTTACGGGAGAGCAAAGCCTTGACGTACTTGGTGTTGAGCTGCAATGTTGTTCTCCTTTTTGTTCATTTACACTAGCCAGGCTAGACAGAGAAATAGCTTTTGCTGCTGAGGAAATGAAGAGTATGCGTTTAAGAAATGTAGAGTGAGTATGGAGGTCTCTGCTGTGAAAGCAGCTTCAGCTCTGCTTCCAAGAGTAAGCAGTTAAATATGTTTTAAATCATATAAATATATCTTATGTAATAACAACACAGAATTTTATCAAGGTCAGTACTACAGCCTATAGTTCTTCCAGCCTAAGGGTTGGAACAGCTAATTCAACATTGGGTAAGGCTTCCAGGGTGCTGGCATGCAATGAGGCATTCTGTAATCTTCCCTGGCAGCCTTTACTGTCTAGAGTTGCTCTGTGGTTGCATCTGTATTGAAAAAGGTGTTGATGTCTACAGGTTTCCAAGTCTGTATGCACATCGTGGTCATATTGCAGTTCTGAGCTCAGGCTCAAGACCCAGACGCACAGGAGCTTGCTATTCCCTAGAGTCCATGGAAAAATACTAATGATACACCCCACAGGTACTCAGCTGGGGCAGTGAGGGTAACCAGGACCCCAAGCTAAATACCCAGA